TCCAGGTGCCTCTTGAGATGAACACCTTTTAAAGAGCTTTCCCATAAGCCCAAACAGCAGTTTCTGCTTCTATCTCATTGATCTGTGTCACATAGCCATCCTAGCTGCAAGAGAGTCTGGGAAATGTCCTCTTTTTAGCTGGGTACATTGCCATCCTAGACAATGTGAAGATGCTATAGTAAGGAAAAGGGGGAGAATGGCTTTGAGAGGTCAATTTTCATTTCTTACCAGTGTTCCTCATCTTTGCTTCTAGGTATAATGACAAGCTCAGCAGTCTCTCACCAGTGATCTTCCAGAAGGAGCTAGACAGACTACCAGGCAGCAGTGGAATTTGCCTATAAAAATTTCCCTAATAAATTCCTCTAAGATGGGACGCCTGGGTGGCTCAGCAGTTGAGCGTCTGCCTTCGGCTCAGGGTGTGATCCCAGGATCTGGGATCAAGTCCCATATTGGGCTCCTTGCGGGAAGCCTACCTCTCCCTCTGCCTATGTCTCTGCCTCTCTGTGTGTATGTGTGTGTCTCTCATGAATAAATGAATAAAATCTTAAAACAAAAACAAATTCCTCTAAGAGAATTTCTTAGCTCTGCCTGCTGGTAGAGTCTGTAAACCAAGATTGAACTTTCATTCTACTTTTCTGGAAGTAGATCAACTCAATGATATAGTGAGTGGTTGAAACACAAGGTTTTTAGGAGGGATGTCTCTGTCCCCTTCTTACCTTCATTTCCTGTCTCCCCAAGACCCATGCGAGGCCAGTGGGGTACCTGGTTATCCACATGGCAGCAAGTCTATTACGTGTCTGCTTTACACACTTGCTCCAAATGCCACCATTAGGCACTCACTCCTGGTGTCAGGTGTTACTCTTTCTGGGTGCCTCTTAGCATGCCAGTCCTCTCTGGCAGGGAGAAAAGATTATTTAATCCACCCCCTCATGTGGGTCTCAGTTCACTAGCCCTTTCCTTCCTTGGAATTCCTGAGCAACAGGGATGTGGGGCACCTAAATCCGTGCGGGAGAGGAGGCTAGGGGAGAAGAGAGAGATGGCATGTTTTACTGAAAAGAAGTGGGGCACCCAGCAGGTTCCCCTCCTTTACTGTAAAGCTGCAGCCACACTGGGACTTGGGTCAGAGGTATTAATAAACACTGCTGGTAAGTTTGGGTCCAGCAGATGGCAACCCCATGACCTTTCAGTTGACTTTGCCTCCCTTTCTCTCCCCACCCACACTTCTCAACCTGAAGACTAAAAATCTGGCTTTCCTGTAATTTGTTTTGACACCAACTTAGGGATTAACACTGCTGGTAAGAGACAAACACAGAGGGTGGTGGTGGGGTGGAGGGGCGCGGATAAATATTCCCCAGGAAGCTTCATGTCAAAGTCACAGATAATGATGACGCTGTCATATGCCCATTTCTGGCTGCACGGAGCTTTCCCTTAGCCTGGGCTTTCCGGGGAGACATCACTGACCAAGGTTAGAATGAAACTGGCAGACCTCTGCAGGGCCGCCTCAGCCCCACAGGGAAGAGGTCCTCAGCCTCTTCTCCTCACCCTACAGGAATGGCACCGGCCCTCCTGTTAGACCCCTCCACACAGGGCAAGGAGTCCTTAGACCCAAAGGGTCATGCCTACCCAGGGCCCTCTGTCCCCTTTTAACTTTTATTTTTTGAAGATTTTATTTATTTACTTATTTGAGAGAGAGAGAGAGAGAGAGAGACAACAGGAGGAGGGGTAGAGGGAAAAGAGAATCTCAAGTAGACTGTGCTGAGCATGGAATCTGATGTGGGGCTCGATCTCATGACCCTGAGATCATGACCTGAGCAAAATCAAGAGTCAGAGGCTCAACCGATGGAGCCACCCAGGCACCCCCTCTGTCCTTTCTCAAGCATGCTCCATCTACCCAGGAAATCCCAGAATTCCCCACTTGAGTGACCCTAAGCTGGCTTTCCAGGAGATGTGGGCCCCTTCCCTTAATGCTTCTTCTTTAGGGAAGACCAGACCACTGGTATATGCACCCCTGCACCCCAAGGATGGCCAAGGGATGGCTGTCTGTGGGGGAGGTGTGGAGAGGGAACCAAGTCTTGCAGGTTGGTATGTGTACCGACAGGAACCCGAAACCACTGAGGAGGAGCCAGGGGAGGGACAAGAAGAGGACAGGCTGCAGTCTTGGAGCTGTTTGTCCCTGTGCTTCCTTGTGCGAACACAAAATTCTGAAGTGTCTAAGAAGTCTACATTCAAACCTCACCTTCCATGTTGTTATGTAGATATATTTGTAGAATAAAAGAACATTTTTGCTCAACATATTTATTTTGTAAGCTTGGCTTATAATGTGTAAATATTTTAGACACATGGTATGTGGCCTCTGTTTGTGCTCTTGCCTCAGGCCCTGCAAATGCTAGGAGCCAACCTGCTTCACAAACATATTTTGTTTGGTCTGCAGAGTGTTTTAAAAATTGGGAAATTTCCAGGTATAAATTCTAATTTGGGCTTTTCTGGACACATTGGAAGATATGGCAACACTGGGTTGGAACTCTCACACGGTAGCATGGGGTAGAATGGAGGGGCAGCTGCCTGCTTTTAGCAGACAAGCACTTACTCTTCAGTTTGCCACACTCCCCACTACTCCCAACTGTCCTACGTCTGGTGAGCTTCATGTATTTACAGTGGCTGCCTGAGCCATGGAGGCGTTTGAGGGAGCGGTCCCTGTCTGGGGTAGGACAGAGCTGGGACAAAGCTGGTGGGTGGGACCTCCATGGTCAGAGCTCTGGAAGTTCAAATTTATTCATAGCTGCCCCTCCAACGTTCCTGTGTGGAGATGAAGCCAGCACCAGCACTCACCCTAGGCTCAGCCTGATGCTTTCTCTACCAGACTGACCAGAAAGGAGAAGTGGAACTGCCTGGGGTCATTAGAAAGTAAAGAATGAAAGAGGAAGAGCGGTCCTTGTCGAGAGATGGGAACCACGCACGTGAGCTCTGCATTTCTAGTTGGGGCCCTGAGTGTCATTCAGTAGATGCCCAGCACAGGTCATGTGCCTTCTGTGGGGCTTTCTGGGGGAAAGTCACAGTGCTGGAGATGGCAGGGGGGAGGAAAATCTCTGATTGGAAGGAAGCCTGCCCCAACCTCCCATGCGAGGCCAGGCCTTGGCACAGCTGGCTGTAGAAAAAGCAAGGCCTTACTTTCTGCTTCCTAAGAATGTGAAAGCCAAATGAATTCTTTTCAATGCATGTAACATCTGCAGTGACCCCTGGCTTCTTTGCTCTGCCCAGACCCTAGGAAACTGGTGAGTGGGAACCTCCTCATTGCAGCCCCTCATCGCATATCCAAGTCCACACTGAGTCCACTCAGGAAGAGGAAGCCCCATTTACCAAGCATGTTAGGAGACCGCAGGTTAAAATGTCAGATTCTGCATTGGAAGCAGTGCTGATATTTGGGGAAGGTCTTCTGAGCTGTCTCCAGCAGACTCTGAGGGCCGTTCCCACACTCTGGGCATCCCCGAGCATCATCTTCAGGGTTGAGGCACCCAGTGGTGGCCACGTGCCTCCAGAGGCCCTTGGGTTGGACTCCTCCCGTAGATGGGCTACAAGGAGGTCAGGTGACCACACGCTGGCACCCCAGTTTTGCAGACCTCTGCAGAGTTCAATAGGCACACTAGGCCCACACTGGTGTGATCCTAGCAAGATAGGGGAGACTTGGGCTGGGGAGGCCCAGAGTTGAGACTTTGCATCAAACCAACAACAGCTGTCGACCGTCGACCTGGCAGTTTGAGGAGGAGCTGTTCCTTTTTCCCTGTGGTCATCACATCCCAAGATGGGGTGCCAACAGGGAGACCATGGACCATGGTAGTCCCTCTGAAGGACGAAGGGATGAGTTTGAGGTGGTGGCTGAAGGAACTGAATGAGACACTTCCCTGTCACTTTTGATCCCAGCCGACTCAATGGAAGCTGTGGGTATGGGCAGACCCCGCCATTGGGTGAGGCCGCGTGTGCTGTGCAGGCCTAGGGAGCTGTGAGGAGCAGGTGGACATTGAAGCCGGGGAACCAGAGCATACCGGCTTTAGGCTCTGCCCAAATTCGTGAATTTTGTTTTTGTTTTTGCTTTCTTTAAAAAAAAGATCTATCTATTCATGAGAGACACACACACAGAGGTAGAGACATAGGCAGAAGGAGAAGCAGGCTCCCTGAGCAGAGCCTGATGCAGGACTCAGTCCCAGGACCCTGGAATCACACCCTGAGCCAAAGGCAGACACTCAACTACTGAGTCCCCCAGGTGCCTCCCAAACTAGTGAATTTGAAGGCCTGAAGACAACCCTGTGCTGATGGGGCACTGCTGCCCTCAAACTGTGCTCAAAATGGCAGCCTGTGGAGCCCAATGGAGATAGATAGGCAAAGTTGCGTGTGCTTTATCATAGCTTCCCAAGGGAGGTAGAGTCTTTAACAAGACATGTAGGCCCATTGGCAGGAGAGTCCCCATGGACCCACTCCACGTGCTGCCTCATGAGAGCATAAGGTAGTGCATTCCTTGTGTTGCCCTTGGGTTACTGGAACACGTTGCATGGGGCCTGGCACGCAGCGTTATCCAGGGCTGGCTGGCTGCTGCACAGAGCTGAGTAGGTGTAGTTGTATGGGTGGTAGTATCAACCCAAATGACCCCTTCTCTGAACAGCATCTCATGCTGGCCCTTCTCCTCTGCCTGAAGCGTGGCCTTTTGACAATCCACGAAGTATGAGGTGGTGAGGAATGGAAAGTGGGGAGCTCATAGTGAAGTGATTGGGGGAGGAAACCTAGAAGATGCCTACAGGGAGGATTGAAGATACTTTGAAGAAACCCAGCTTCCCAAGTAGGTTAACAAACCATGGAAGAGAAGAGATACTAGTAGTCTCCAGAGCTTTGAGGGCTCTTGAGACCAAGAACCAAAGAAGGTGCCAACCCCACAGAACTTAGGGTTTCAAGGAACTGTGTAACAGAGGGAAACTGCCAAACTGGTTTCTTTTAAGAAATTTATTTAGAAAAATAACCCTCCCCTGCCCTCCCCCCTCTGTGCCAGGGGACTTGGGCATCATGTATGATAGAACTCTGGACTGGGCCTCCCACCTGCATGGGGGCTCGGCACACACTGACAGGCGGCCAGGCCACTGGGTGGCCTCACACGCTCTCAGCTGCTCCAGTCTTGTGCTCAATCCTTGTCCAGGCCTCCTCTGCCTCGGGGTCTCCGGATGGAGACAGGATCCTGAGGGGCGAGGGCAGCCTGGCCACAGTCTGTGTGCCCCTCCTGACGCCCGCCAGGGCAGCTGGGGGCGGGCGGCTGGGTCCCCAACCACCCCATCTCCGGAGAGTCAGGGCTGGAAGCGAGGCGAGCTGACGTGAGGCTGGTGGAAGGCATGGGCGCTGTACACCACGTCGGGGGGCGAGGGCGTGCTGGCGGCCAGCACCGAGCACAGGGGCTCATGGCTGCTCAGCACCGATGTGAAATACTTCATCTCTTCCGTGAGCTGCTTGATCTCCTTGCGCAGAGCCGCGTTCTGTTTCTCTAGGTCTTCGCTCTCCTGTGAGGAGGAAGGTCAGCATCCGAGATTAGCAGCAAGGAAGGCACAGGGTGGGAGGAAGGGGGTGCAGGAAGAGTTCAGCTCAGGGTCTCACTGGCACAACCACAGGGAAGAGCGTCGGTGAATTTTTCTACATGTGTGTGTGTGTATTTGTGTGTGTCATATGTGGGTGTGGGTGCATTTACACATGCATATGTGTGTATGGACACTAGGTCAAACCCATGAAATTACTGATATTTGTCTGACCTATAAGGATAGCAGGTTCGTATGGGAGTACGCTCCTGTGTGTGTGTGTGTGTGTGTGTGTGTGTGTGTGTCCATGGGTCTCTGTGAGTGTGTACGTGGCTTGAGAGTGGCAAATGCATGTGAAGGGAAACTGGCTGGCAGGTCAAAGCCTGAAAAAATGGAAAAGAGTTTGCGAGAACGGCTTCTACTACTTTCACGCTTTTCCACCCTAGGTTAGGCCACGAGTTCTCCAAATGTCCCCAGTATCAGCTTTCAGACTTACGGAGGCCATGGTTAACTGCTTAACCAGATTCTTTTTTAAAGATTTTATTTATTTACTCATGAGAGGTATGTAGAGAGAGGCAGACACACAGGCAAAGGGAGAAGCAGGCTCCATGCAAGGAGCCCGATGTGGGACTCGAACCCGGGATCCAGGATCACGCCCTGAGCCAAAGGCAGATGCTCAACCTCTGAGCCACCCAGGTGTCCCGTTAACCAAATTCTAGAACACTAGGGTCTTTGTAAATATCAAATAGTCAAAATCCACCTAAATGTCCGATTCCACTCCATTCTGCTCACCCGAGAGCCTTGTTTAGAGCATTCGGGGTATGTCCCACCCATGCGCGTGCTTTTTTTTCCCAGAATCACCTTTCCCCTGTTGTCTAGGAGTACCATCTGATATACGCCAATCAGGCAAATTCTGCGTCAAAGAGTGCTAATTTCTGATCACATCATTAATTAATCAACGATTCCACTCTGGCAATTAGTGTTTACTGGAAAACAATGCGGCCTAGGGGAATTGCATTTCCAATGTGCTTTTAAGGTTCACATTCCTTGAGTCAATCAAATAGACTGACGAATCTAATCACTGGTGCCACAGAGGCAGGGAAACTGGCATTGGAGATGCAAATAAATTACATTTCAGTTCAAAAAGCAATCTCAGAGTTGGCATCCAGGCCTTAATTTTTCTAGTTCTATTCAACTTAACTCAGCATTTTCCAAACTTGCCAGAGTATTAGAATTAGTTTGAGGGCTTGTTAGAGTTTCAGGCTGTTCTTGGGATCTAGAGATTTGAACTCAAGTGGTTTGGGATTTTGGGTAAAATCTGGGAATTCACTGAATTTTTAACAAGTGCCCCAAGTCACTCTAATGATTGGGCAAGTTTGAAAACACAAGTTAAATACAATATCACATTTGTCTTAACTAGTCAAGTACTTCTTAAGTGCCTATATGTTAAGGACCTGGCACATAGTATGAGCTCAAATGTCTGCTGCTTGACTGGCTGATGACTCCAATTGTTTGGACTAGAAGTTGACTCAAAACCATGGTGGGCAGTGGGCAGATATAGGGTGGCATTTAAGAGGTGCCTTATACAACCCATCAGGAGCGTGAGCTGTGGTCTAATGAGTGAACTAGGTACACTTCCAACTGCCTTAATCCATGAACCCAGGAGTCCTTTTTTAAGTGGTAGAGGAGTGTGTATGGCTGCGGTCTTACCCATCAAGCCAGCTTCCAACCATTTGTGAAGGACAGACGCAAGCATGCTCAGCCCCAGCCTGGCATTTCCTGTCTGTGGCTTTGAGCTAGAAAATGTGCCTAGGTCAGTACAAAGGAAACTCCCATCTCTAAAATGGGGTGGGGGTGGGTGGGACACTCAGACCCACGACGGTGGAGTCAGAGGCACTGGCTGCTGCTTCTGCAAGGTATGGCTGGCTCACTTATTGTACCATTTGGTTGTTTCCAGGCATATCCCAGAGGTAGGGCATCCCCTCTTTACCGAAAGGTAAGAGAAAGCAACACGAGACAGGGTGGGGGGTGGTTGGTAAGACGGGAACTGGGGGCCGGGAGTCCTGGCCCCTTCTTCTAGCCCTTTCCTCGCCCCCTCTGAGAGTTTCCACTGGTGACAACGTTTACTGTAAATTCTGTGCTCTAAAGAGCCTGGGCAAACCCCGAGGCAGAAGGGAGGGGTGGGGTGGGCGGGCCACAGGGACCAACCGCTCTGACCTTCTCCCCGCCTAGAGGCAGGCCCCGCTTTCGGGAAGTGACTGCAGGTTCTTCCTCCCCAGGCAAGCTCCGCTGAGCTCTCTCTAGCTTTCTCTCCCTGCCCCCCTGGCTTGCAGATCCCAGAGCTCTAGGAGGGGGTTCACAACCACAGCGGCCTCTAACCAGAAAACAACCACCTGTGACAAGAAATTTGTCTTTACCTTGGGAAGCAAGACTGCTTCCTGCTAGGGCCCCAGAGGAACCATGAGGCCAGCCAGACACTGGCAAGAGGAAGAGTTTGACTTCCCTTGCAGGAGGAAGTGGCTGAGCTGGGGCCTCCTTGCAGCATGTCCCCACCTGCCAGGGCTCAGGCCACTCTGACCGTCGTCCCTGGGGCAGTCACGCCCTGGAAAGGACTCAGACTCACACAGGGACAGCTGGCAAAGGTGGCCACGGAGCAGCTGTTTACTCAGAGGTACAATGATCACATCTCCTGACTTCCGTTCACTTCCCAGTGGTGGCTGGAAACAGGACTCAATGAGTGGGGAGAAGAGAAGAATGTTTGGGAAAGAAATTGTGGCCTCTCGCATGCACATCCTCTGTTCCTAGTAAGGGAGCATTAAGCCCGCACCAGGGCTTCTGTGTCACCTGCTTTCTACTTTTCAGAATTCCTTTCAGTCCTTCAGGCTCCTCACAGTATCCCCCTGAGGTGGACGTGGGAGGCCAGCCGTTCCCGTGACCTCTATTTTTCAGGTGAGGCCAACTGAGATCCTAGGACAAACCTACCCCAGATACCCCTCAAAATGACCCCAGGCTGGTGGCAGCAGCTCCTGGGAGAAAGGGCTGTGGAATTCACCTCAAGACATTGATTTTCTCAGAGGTCCAGACACTTCAGCTATTGACCCAAAGCCGCATAACCACATAGGGGCAGAGCAGGGTTTGGCTCAAGGCTTCTCCAGCCCCATTCTTCTTCTGGCACACCCAATGCTTTCCCCGAGAGACTGGTGACTTAAGTGACCAAAGGTCTTCAGAGATTACTAAGAAGTCCTTAGCTACCTATAGTCTCCCAAGTGAACACTGGGTCTTGATTTTGGTGGTCTTTCAACACCACGCTGGAACCCTGAGATGGTCACACTCTTCTAATCACAGAGCTGATTGTCTGCCTCCTGCCCAGAGTTGAGAGGGAATTTCCTGTCCAGCTACTCCTTTTTAAAATTTTTAAAAAGATTTTATTTTTTGAGAGAGAAAGAAGGGGAGAGAGTGCATGAGCAGGGGGGAGGGGGAGAGGGAGAAGCAGATTTGCTGCTGAGCAGGGAGCCCAGCAAGGGGTTCTGTCTCAGGACCCTGGGATCATGACCTGAGCCAAAGGCAGATGCTTAACAGACTGAGCCACCCAGGTGTCCCCTGTCCAAGGTACTCTTTTAGAGGGCTCACTCAAGGTCAGGCCTTTGTCCACATGCAGAATGAGGTCCAGAACATATGGGAATAGTGGGCTGCATCAACAGTAACTAGGGACTGAGGTCCTGGCAAGGTGAGCCTCTGTGACTCACTTTCCCCTCTCTGAGCCCCAGTTCCTGTTAGAACAGGAAGACTGGACCACAACAATGATTCTCAACCTTGGCCACACGTTGGGATCATTGGTATCCCCTGGGGAGATTCACCCATACAGGTGCCTGATTCTGATGTAAGCAGTCTGGGGTGCAGCCCGGAGTTGGGTTGGTAAAGGCTCCCAGAGGATTGTAATGTGCAGTGAACACTGAAAATCATTAGAAGGAACCATTAGCTTAGAAAAATCTCCAAGCCCTCTTCAACTCTCGAATATTTCAGATTCTGAACTAAATACCTGAGTATATTAGACTTTAACCCCCACTTGTTGGGAAGGGGTGTGCATGTCAGGGAGAAGATTGTCAGGGACAGAGGGATATAGATCCAACTTATAGGAGAAAAATTAGTGGAAACCAAATTTTTAAAAGAATAGTCTAACTTGACTTAATAACTAACATTTATTGGATGCTACCATGTGCTGATGACTCTTTTACGTGTTTTAGTTATTAGTATATGTAATCTTTGCAACAACCGTATGTGGCAGATAATACAATTACCCGCATTTTACAGATAGGACAACCTCAAGTACAGGGAAGTTAAATAACTCATTCGAGGTCACACAGCTTGTAAGTGCCAGCACCACAACTTGAATGAGGCAGTCTGGGTTCAGAGTCTGTGCCATTTGTTTATATCTTATGATGTTTGGTAATTAGCTCCTGGGAAGCCTCAGCCCTGTTGGCTTTCCAATTTCATCTTCCCTCTTTTCCTACCTCTTGCAAATCCAGATGATAATGTTCACAATCCACTCTCATTTCTAAAGCTACCCTATCATGAACTATGAGTAGCTTGGGGGTGGTTAAGGAAGAGGCTTCATGGGGGTGTGGGAACATTCTGGGAAATTCCCTACTGGAGGGTCTGAAAGGGGGTCACTCAAAGAACTCTTGAATGATGGGGAATCCCCACACAGTTCTCTTACCCACAGGGAAGCCAGTTAGGACCAAGGCCAAGGACAGGCTCTGGGCCAAGGCTCTGGCAGGCACTCTCTGGGCATTCTGAGGAGGGCATTAGTTCTCCTTCCTGCCAGCTCTGATTTAGTGCCTTGACCCTCTCCTTGAATTTTCTAATCAAATTTCGGGAAGAGTGAAAATAGTCCTTGTGTGTTCCTCCTCAACAGAACATGTAGTCACTTATTGATTGGGTGGCCTTTTAGCTCCCACCTACACTTAAACATGAGAGTAGTGAGCAAA